GGGCTCCGGTGCCAGCTTCTCCTCGCGCGAACCCGCTTGGTCCCCTTTTCGCATGGCTCCAAAACGGAGAAACCCGCGAGGCACAAAACCAACCCACCTTGAGGGGGGCCCGTTCTATTTGGGGCCACAGACCAAAAAAGAACCTCAAAAGTCGCGAAGTTATGCAAGCAACGGAAGCCAGCACGCGAAAAAAGGGAAACGCGACAAAAACAAAAGAAAACACTTTTATGCCTTGTTCGCGCCTAGCATGTCCCCCCTTGTTCACGCCTCATCTACGTCTTGCCCCACATGTTGCTTTTTCCTCACAAAATGGGGGACCCCCAAAAAAGCGTGCGGTTCTTCCTTTGGTTGCCTCTTAAACCACTCCATTTACCGCTCGCTCACCCCCCTGTTCGGGCCTTAGACAAGCCGCTTTGCCACCTGACAACTCTGGACTCGCCTCTGCTACCAGAAGGGCACCCGGGAAAAGCGGGCCCAGTGCGAAGCCGTAGACGAAGCTGCACACGACCTCAAAGCGCTGGAGGGAGGTGCTGTTTTGTCCAAGTTTCTCAGAGCCTGGGCCGGTGGATGTCCACTAGAGGGAACTTGTAGGCACCATGCCCTGATTCCAAGAGGAAGCCTACACTTCCGCTTATCTGGGTATGAGCTCTTGGGAATGTCTAGACATCGTTTACCATGCTAATCTATCTAGCGATGTCCCAGGTCTGGTTCCCGCTCTTTGATTCCACCGTCTGCGAGCGAGTATCTGGTCGGATTGAATTCACCCTAGTGCACGACATCTGCTGAGTGAAGCATCGATGCCAATCCCAACAAAACATGACCCACAGCCAAACTACGTGAACGTTGCCGATCATGACGGACAAACACCTCTAGTTTCTTGTCGCCCTCCAAAGTTGACCGAACATTTGTCTGAATGTCGACATACTGACTCTGATCTCACAACTTGTGCTGGGCAGATTTCAGCGACTTGCGAACTGCAATGCTGCTTGAAGCCATCAACCCTGGGGATTGATTTCCCGTGCTCTCACAAGCATCGCTCCTGTGGAGGGTACCTGGACGACAAATTCCCTCTGGAAGTGGACCTTGCCGAAACTCGTTTTTGCATCTTTCCCTATCTGAAAACATCACGCTACCAAGAGAAACTCGCCTTAAATGGGCCACAAAGGAGATTGTCCAAAACCGCAAGGGGAACAGCGCTGGACCCCTGCTGTGGGAATCGTATCCAAAGCTGGGTCTCCGCGCCGCGGCCGTAACACCTCCAAAGCTGAAAACTGCCAGCGAAGTCCAGGCCAGAAGCAAATGGAGCTGGATGTAGCCTTGCGCAGCCATTTTGCCGTTTCCGCATACGGTGGCAAAACATGGCTCATGCGGGCTTATGAAAGGAAGATGCAGGGTGATCCTGGGACAAGTTTGGCACGCCCTTAGAAAGAAGAGCATGAGCACTGTTCATGGGAACCCCGGATTGACAAACCCCTGGTTGATTCCTGGGGGGTGTCCCCCTTTGAGTGGAGTTTCATCACTTTTGGAGGGGAACACCCCGAAAGGAAGAGTTTTAATCTTGGGTCAACAGGGGGTTGGTCTGAGAAAGTTCCGGCAAGCGGGAGAGTTCTCAAGTACAGGTGCATACAAGGCTCTGAGACTGTTTAGTTCTCCCCAGCTTCCTTGATAGCCAGCACTCATTCAAGGTGTAAGCGGGCTGTCCGCATGGTGGCCTCATTCTTCCTCACTGGCTGACACAGTTTATGCTCCTGGTTGCAGCCAACGGCAAAGAATATGCTTGAGACCTTGCATTTAAACATCTCTTGGTCATGATTCACCAGTGGCAGGCGCGAACACTGGCAATGTTGCCTGAAATGTCGTTCAAATGCTAAGCATGAAGAAGGTGCATTCGCTACAGTGCTCCAGCAGGAATTTCAAGAACTACAGCAAGGATTGCTCAAGTTGTACCCGTTCTTCATGCAGCCAAGTTGCGATAATGATTCCTTGCATGCGCACAGAGGTGATGTGGCAATGGCATCAATGTCAAGGCTTTGGCTTTCCACTGGCAAAACGCAAGAGAGCCAGCAGGACGAATCCCAGTTGAGAGCAACACGGCCTTTTCATACTCAAACACATCTTTCTGTCACACGGTCCTGATTGAACACCTGGTACGGCGTGCACACACGCACACACACACAAACACATTGATCTGGCGCCAGCCGGTGCTGGGATATGTTGAGAACCGTTTTACTTTTGTTTATGTAGAGGGGTGTGCGTTTTTGGAGGGTACATTTTTAGATTAGTTTAAAGGGAAGCCAAAGGGAAGGCACACATTTTGGGGGGGTGCCCTGCGACATCCCCGGTTTTCAAAATTTCTTGCACCCTAAAGGTTGGTCTTTGGCCGTCAAACCACACCAGAAGGTGTCCAACCAATTTTTGGAACTGTCAGATTTGAGCCGTGACGTGCCCGTTCTCTTTTAAAAGTGGACAAGACATGGTCTTCCCTTCCCGACCCTATCCACTTAGGCTTGTTTCTCAATGAGGGAAAGCCAAAAATCGGTGGTTTTCGGGCTTTCCCTTTGGTTTCCAGTCAAACAAACATATCTATTTGCATTTTGAAAGTCATCATTACATTTAGACGTTACAACAGATTCATTTTGTGCTCGTGTTAATATGTCTATCTTCTGACACATCACAACTACTTTTTATTATATCCATCTTTGCAATATTCAATACTTCTGTTTGGACTGGAATTCACTTGTCCTAGAGTTATATTATATCATCTCCTCCCAAGCTAGGACTATTTATAGTTTTCATATGTGGTCTGACATTTATTCCCATAACTATCCAAACCTATGACGTCTTATAACTAACTCCTTGGACGTTCCTGGTTTCTGAAGCTCCATTTTGTATCCTTGCGGCCCACAAAGGGTACCCTCCCAGCAGCTAACATGGAAGTGCAGAGACCCCTGTAGAAAGACGACTTTCCTCTTGCAAAGGGCCTTCTTGCACTTTCATGTTGGTTTGAAAGTGGTGTTTCACTGTCTGAAAATTCGATGGGACTAAAGGCAACACATTGGGGGTACACAACTCCCAACTCACTCGTGCTGTCCACTCCATGCCCGAACTCAGCGGGGCGTGGAACTTTCGAAGGCCGCGCGGCACGTAGGGCGTCACCAGCGTGGCCACGAGGCCTCAAAAAAAAAAAAAAGCAGGTGGAAATCCTTCTTGTTCGGGTGGGGGAGGAGAAGGGCGGTTTTGGACTTCGGGTTGGTTTGTGGCTTGGTTTAGGGTGTTGTTGGGGGTTTCGGTTTGGGGTTGGTTTGGGGGTTTGGGGGTTTGGGTTTGGGGGTTGGTTTGGGGGTTTGGGGTGGCTTTGTTTGGTTTTGTCTCTACACGGGAAACCCTCCCCCCCCGCCTTGTACGCCTGGAGAATTCGTAATTCGAAGGCCCCAACCCCAAGCGTCCACCAAACGGACGCACCGAACATTTTGACGCGTGCACAAATCTCGGTCGCTTTCTGCTCCCCTGAGAAAGTTGATTTTTTAGTGGTTTAATACGGGAAAACCCAAATTCGTTGGCAAAAAGTTGTTCAGTCCTAACATCCCTTGGCAAACTGCGCCAAAGAAATGTCCCTGATGCTTGCGGGTGAATGAGAATGGACAATTCAAGCAGGATTTCTTGTTTGCGGGCTGTCCATACGATTTCTCCAACCTCACTTGCAGTATACTGTCTCGCACTTGCACATATTTCCTCTACACGCCAAACACAAGCCCACCAAACCGGGTGAGGGCAAGTGTAGCCTAGTCATCGCTGGAATATACTTTTAATGGACGAGCATGTATGATGCAATGCCACTTGTCATTGCTGACATTACCCCAAACTCGTCAAGCAACAAATGTGGTCCAAGGCTGCACTACTTAAGGAACCTCCATGTTGGGGGGTGAGCCATTTTTACGACCCCCCAGCATCCTAACTTGTGCAGTACACATCCAAAGGGCTTATCAATGGTACCATGATCTTGAGTGGGCATTCTGAGACAGTTAACAGAACATGTGTGTGTGTGTTTTCTTGGGCCACTCTGTCCAGAGCTTGGCTTGAAGGGAAACCAAGACCACACACCCACACAAACCCGCATGAATGCGCCCATATCTTGCCTGTCAGCCTATCCCGCCTTTCACGACGAGTTGCGCGCAATACTGAGCGCAGCCCAGTACAGCGACGTAAGCTCGGCTGCGAGCACCTGAAACAAATCGATGGGGATATCGATATGTCTTGGGGGTACCCCATTCTGGCACCGAAGGGCAAATCACATAGGCGTCCTTTTAGGGCAATTAGATGGCCCTGGCAGATGATTAAACCACCAGCTAGACCAGGACCATCTATTTTTCCACCAAAACAACCAAAAAGGACATGTATATGGCAACTCAACTCAGCCCCCCCAAAATACTGAACTACTCAGTGGACAGCTCCGATTTGCTTTTCCGTCTCACTCCCGGTTCGGCTCTGTGAACTTTGCACCGAGCGGTTTGTCGGGAAGACCTGTGCCCTTCGAGCAGCCCGAAGGTCTTCGATGGGAAAGCAACCGCGTTTCACGAAACGCAGGTTTGGGCCAGCGGGTTGCTTTGAGCAGCCCCGTTTGACCCGTTCTGCGACGATTGACAAGTGGCTGTGGGTCAACACCAATGGTACCATTTTGGGCTAGGTGTACCTCCCTTTTTAGTCTATTTTTGTGGGGATTGGGATGTTCACTGGTGGTACGATTTGGATTTTGACCCATGGCCAAGTGAGTGTGCAGCCAGGGAATTCAACTAACCTCATGGCTGGTGGCACTGCCCAGCTGTTAGCCAGGATACCTGGAAGACAACAAGATCGTGGTGACAAACCGGCCCTCCCTGCGATACCAAAGTGGGATTGCTGCATACATGACTCCATGACTTCGTTGAACTTCTTCAAACGGGATTCAGCAGCAACTCAACAGAAGGTTGTTGAAAGGTGATCATGTTACTCCTGCTCTGGTATCACCTTCAGTTTGCAACTCATTTCCCACAACTATGCACAGGACTCGCAAGGAGAAAGCAATGGCCGGCTGAGATCTCAAAGTACAGTCACCGACATCTCCGTGCTCAGCATCTTTGCGTACCTGCAAGGATCCGGCCACTTGAAGCAATGGGATCCTCTTTTCATGGGCTGAGGGAGAGGTGGGGGCGAAAGCGCATAGGGCCTTAACACAAGGCTTAACAAGCACTTGTTTGGGCTCCCTCCCCCGCCATGATCTTTACACTGGGTGTACAGGGACACACTCACCCCACGCCCGGAAGGGAACTCGACTCACGGCCCGCCTCGAATTGCGGATGTGCGTTTTCTTCAACGAATTGGGATGCCCGTGGAGGGAAACGCGACTGAATCCGGCATTGCCCCGCCAAGCCGATCTCGCAAGAAAGCAGAAGAAACAACAAAGTATCCATTGAACCTTCTGTAGCTCAACAGCAATCTCCTTTTGCAAGACCTCGACTTACCCAGCAACACCTTTGGGCGTATCTATCAAAATGGGGAACCCCAATGGGTGGCCCCCATTGGTTGCCGCGCTCATGTGCAGCTAAGGCTCGACTCAGTCAGACTGCGAATCGACTTGTGCACCGACTGCAGAATTTTCATCATGCCTGGAGGTCTGTGGAAATGCTTGAGAAACAGTGGTGTGGGTGTTTCCGATACTGGACCTGGTTGGAAAGGTTGGAAAGGCAACAAGAATGGCTTTCCCTCGGGCAACTGAGGTTGGTTGGGGCCAGCCTTTTTGTACGTGGGAAAAAACATCTGTCAGAACCCTCTGTCCACTGGGCTGGTTGATTCCCCAAAAGGAGCAATTCTGGGATTAGCTTACCTTGGTGTCCTTTTGGGAAAAATAGCTGGCCCTGGCAGATGGAATAAAGCCCATCTAAACCATCTATTTTTTGCCAAGCTCACCTAAAAAGGAACCAATGGTTCATGAAATTATGACCCCCAGTGGGTGCTTTGGCCCGTTTTTTCTGTTCTGTCAGGCTGCGCATGGTCTCCATCGGCACATCCCGCACCACCATCTGCAGAAGCCCATCCACAAATTCTTCCTGCGAGAGCTCACCTTGGCGCTCGCCACTGGCCACGCTCAAGCGCTCAAGGAACCAAGGCCATGTCCCCATGGGTGTGGTTGTCAAAAATAGGGTAACCCCAAAACGGGTTGCCCTGGCAAAGGAAACGAGGACTAAAACCTGCGGTCCATTTCCTGGTGCTATAATTTTGACCCATACCCACATCACCCAAAGGCGGTTCCGCTGATTTTCGGCGGAGTGGGTTTCTGCAAGATTCGAAAAGGAAAACCCTAGGACTTCCTGCAGCTTTAAATTTATTGGACGCAGGGGGGAAATCCAGCGCGTCAAAAGAAGCAGAGGGATACCTGACCTAAACCTAACTCTGAAAGGACTGAAAGCACTCGGCAAAGTGTCATGGGAGCACTCTTCCAAGTCCACTAGGAACTCACTCGAATCTTGAATGCTCATTCGCCCAAACTTTCCCTTCATAAACCCTCCGCGTTATAATTCACCCTTCTGTAGTGAGGACGGTCGCTTTTCTTGGTGAAGAAAACATGGCCTCTAGTTCGCATGCCATTTTTGTTGGAGCCTCTTGAGGCCACAACCGATGTTCCATTTCTTTGTCCGTGGCGTGGAGGTCCACTTCCAGTGTTGCTCTCTAGTGCAACCCTTTCGAATTGGAAACCCAACAATTATTCGTTCGCCTGCTGGAAAAACCCTTCGTCTGGTGGCTTCCTTCTATTTCCACCCTCCACGCGTCCATCCAGGAAACACTCAAACACACAATCCCCGGTGTCCTTGCGGAAAAACACAAAGGCGCTCAGAAAGAAAAAACACTCATCTGACATTTGGTGACAGATCCTAACCATAGGTGTCCTTTTCGAGTAAATAGATGGCCCTGGTAGATGATTAAACCACCAGGTAAACCAGGGCCATCCATTTTTCCTCCAAAACAACCAAAAAGGACACCTATGATCCTAACCCTTTAATCCAGACACCACAGGGAGAGCCAATATCCAGTCAGGCCTCCTTGGAACTAAGCCATCCATTCCCAATTTTTTCCCTTCACCTGTGCCGCATGGAACCTGACGATCGGGACCTTCCTTTAGGAACATGATCCAAACCCAAACCCGAAACGTCCAACGATTCCGTGAAAGAAAGAAGGGTGGGAGGGTACTACTATTGGCCATTTGGGCCAAAAGGGGGGAGGGCAACCCATCTAGGTGTCCATTTGCTTAAGCCCCCTGGACAAACTAAACATATATGTGCACTTAGTGCTTTGAGACCAACAGGGGAAAAAATGACATGCAAAAACAAACTTAAGCAACTTCCTTTGAAACCAACAGGGGAACATGAAACAACATATTCATTTCAGCAAATGGACGTAGGTGTCCCTCCCGGAGAAAAAACAATTAAAGAACAAACGAAAGAAAAACAACGCTGAAAAAACGGGCCGCAGCTCGCCTGTGCGATCCACGTCCAGGAGATCAAAGAGCTCCACAAGGTCATCCGCGGCCAGGGACTCCAGCAAGCCCTTGGGGATATGCGCATCCTCAGCACAGACCCTCCCTACCAGGGGCACGGGGGTGGAGGGTCCCTACCATAAGGCCCGGGGAAACAAAATAATTCCAGTAGTGATGATTTCCCTTTAAAACCAACAAGGGTAAACACATATTCTTACCCAAATGGAGGATAAGAGGCGGGGGGGGGGTGGAGGGTCCCCCCCCCCAAAAAAAAGGGGGACAACGAAACCATGAAATTCCAGGAAAATTCCAGCCCCTTTCCACGATTTCATGTCCATGTACAGGTGACTTGAGAATGAGCTGGTTGGGATTCCCTAGAAAACCACCAGGCATGGCTTACTCATTCCCTCGTTCCCCGTCGAGCACAAGCAACATTGAGATGTGGACCCTCCTGAGAGGTTTCCGTTTGGGTGGTGAATTTCAAAGGGGACCCGAAATGGTGGACATCAATAGTCAGCGGCAAAATCACGCCAGCCACTTTCGAGGTTCCAACTCTTGGAACTTATAGCCATCCCTTGAAACCGCTTGAAACCCACCTAGAGGAGCTCCTTTTAATTTTGATCCAAGCAACGATGTGTAAATCGAGCAAAAGGGGACACCTTTGAAAAACAAACATGGAACTTGAAAGGTCTCTTGCTTGGGGCCCCTTTCAGGTTCCCGGTTTGTTGTTCGAAAGGCAAACGAAAAAGGGAACCAATAATTGCAAAATGGAATCCAACAACTACACACATTTGTTAATTTCAGGCACACCAATTGGGCACCAACAATTGTAGAATGGACACCAACACGGATGCGCACCTTTGTTTAGTTTTACAAGGGCAACACCCAACCACCAAATCTGGTCGTTTCTGCGCTTAGCTTCCCCCCAGCACAACCTCAACAAGGGGGTTCGACCTGCACCTTTTCCGAAGCCGAGTTGGCAAGGTTGTGCACAAGTCGGTTTCGACAAACAGGCCGTGGACCAACCCACGCCAAAATTCAATCCGCCCTCAGTGGGGCAAACTGCCGGGCTCCAGAGCTTTCTGAGCAGGTGCTCGGAGTTTGAATTGCCCAGCCCCCTCCCCTCCAATCCCCTGCAAACGAAACTGATCGTTTCTTTTTGATAAAGGCCTTTCCAACAAATCCCATTGTTTTCCCTTTGGTTCTCCCTTTGCCCAACCAAAAAAAACCGCCGCCGTCGGCTGACCCGCGCGATCCCATCTCGGAGAAAAGGCTCCGGCAGGGAGGCCAGCTCGGCGCGGCTGAGCCCGCCGTCGGAGTTGTTGTCCAGCTTTTGGAAGAGCTCCTAAGACTTTTTGGCTTCGTAGGTGTGGGCTCCATCAGCGTTTTTTTTTCGTAGGTGTTGGTTTCGTTGTTGTGGTTTCGCAGGTGTTTGGTTTGCTTTCGTTGTTTGCTTAGGGTTGGTCTGAATGTTGGCATTGTAGGCTGAAAAAGGAGTCTTGGGGCTTGGTCTGTTCCGGACGCATGGAGTCTTTGCGCGATTCTAAGGGTTAGGGTTGGTTGAAAGATTTGAAGGTTGGCATATGGGGGATCTGAATTGGGTAGGTCTCTGCCATTGCTATGGTGCAATTCAATCAGCCTGCCGGAAACCTACGCACTACATCAAAGGGGCCCAAGGCGCCCAACCAACCAGGCTGGGCGAATATGGGCTGGTCTAGCCTTACGAGAGCCTCCTTTTAGGGAACTGGGAAAAGTCTTACAATCGGGTTGGTATAGAAGGTAGGTTCCCACACAAAAAACTCGATTGGGGTTGCGCGCTTGGGACAGTCTTGCAGTACGGTTTTGGTTTCCGAACGCGTTAGGGTCTATTTGGGGTCGTTGCCTGCTGTTGTTGTACGGGCTGGTCTGAAGGTCTAAAGGTTATAGTACCTAGGGATCTATCTATCAGGTTTGTTTTCAGATGCGTTCTGTCTAGTCGGGGTTGCGTGCTTCTGTTTAAAAACGCAAAAACGCTTGAAGATTGCGTGGTTGGGAATTTGACGGATTGGGCTGGTCTCAATATACGGGTTGGTCTATACAGCCAGCTTCCGAACGCATAGGGTCTGTTTGTCTGCTTCTGCTTTAAGGGTGGTTGCTTTCCAGACGCGTTGGTTGTGGGGATTTTTGATAGGGTTGGGTTGATCTCAACATACGGGTTGGCCTAGAGGCTGGCTTCCGGACGTCTGTTTGGGGTTGTGCGCTTTTGCGTCTAAGGGTCAAGGCTAAATGGAAAGCGGGTTGGTCGAAAAGGTTGGTTTCTGGACGGTGGAATGTAGGACCCTATCGCAAAACACGCTAAGGGCTCGGCTGATGATATGGTGGGGTCTCAACAGTTGGACCCAAGATGATTTTTTGTGGGTGGGGGGGAGGTTGACCTTGCAATGGGTAGTGTCCACTGTAAAGGCGGTGCCTTGGGCGACGCCCAGCTAAACAAAAATACCCGCCCAATATTCTTGACAGCCCCTGCCCTTGGAACTCTTGGAGCGGGGATGAGGATTGAAACATCGTTAAGTTCCGCAAAACGTTGGGGGATAAGGTTGGTTTGCAAGCGTCGAGGCTTACAGTCCTCTGTATGGAGCTGTCAGCATGGTTGCCACCCCCCGCAACAGCGGAACTCCCAAACCGGAGCTGGGACACGTGGGTGTGCCGCATCTGCTCGAATCTCGAGGCTGCTTGAGAGGCAACGCCATGCCGAGAGCGTTGTGTGAAGCTAGCGCCTCAACTTTGGCAGATTCGGTTCGAAGTGTGCGCGGCTCTATGAGCAAAGAAGCCCGTCCAAGGAGACGGCCGATGCAGGCATCTTGCAGCAGTGTGTAGACCTGTGTCACCATCCTTGCATGCCTCTGTGCGTAAGGAAGAGCTTGCGTGCAATAGCGCACCTCCCGCCTCACAGGCCATTCCAGGCCATTCGCTCACATACACCACGACGACCTAAGAGCATCAAAATCGGATCCGATGCTCGGCGCGCGCTTTGCGAGGTGGCCTTTGAAGCGCGCGCTGCTGATTAGGTCGTGCGGCAGAACCTGCGCCGTACTCATTGGGTCTGGTTCTTACCCTGGCAACAATTCTGAGGCTGTGTGTGGCAAACAACGTCAGGAACACGAAAGGCCCGCTGACCGAGCAAAGCAAAAAAAAAGCCTTTGCAAATGGAAGGGCAGCTCTGGCAGGTACTTCCAGATGCAAGAGTCAAAGACAACTTGAGGAGCGGGTGAACGAAAGCTAGCAGTTGTTGCATGAGATGGGTCGGTGACAGAGTGGATTCATAGGTAGCTTGTGCACAACGAGAGGCCCGGCAAGATTCGTAGGATGCGACACGCAAACGCACATGGTGGCGTGGCAAACCTTGAAAAATGAAAACAACGAGAGGCGTCAGAAGCTGTCTGAAAGCACCTCTGGGTTCTGCATGCTGCGTGTGCAAAGATCCTTGCGAGGTGGTTTACCGAGAAGACTGAGGTCTCAAATGAACAAGCTGAATCGGTGGAACATGTAAAAGTTCGTGCAAACCGAGACTGCTGAACACTGAGCCACTGCCCGAGGGGGGGGGGGATGGACCAGGGAGGAATCGAGCCTGAGACCGGGGGGGGGGGGGAGGGGGGGGGGTCTAAATAATTGATGTTTTTCAATCTTTTCGGCTCAAATAATTGAAAAAGTCAATCTTTCGGCATTTGAGCCCCTTACCTTGCTTACGCAAGGAGCTAGCTAAAGCTAGCTTTCGTGATCAGCTCCTAAAGTTGCATGGCCTCAATGCCTTGAACCAGAGATTCCTGTCAATCTTGGCCCTTCTAGGATGAACTGAGGCTGGTTTCTGGACGGAAGGGGTGCGTGCATGCGTGCGTGCGTGCGTGCGTGCGTGCGTGCGTGCGTGCGCGCGTGTGTGGGTGTGGGTGCGGGTGCGGGTGCGGGTTGTTGGTACCTCTGATTGACTGTGACAATGAGAATCAGAGGTACTATCACAGCACCGCACTTAATAAGCTTTGCTGGGCCGCTGGGCCCACAAACCAATGCCGGCCTGGGTTCTCACATGCATGAAACAAAGATAGAAAGAGAGAAAGAGAGAGAGAGAGAGAGAGAGAGAGAATGTTATTTCCACAGGCAGGTGTTTTTAAATGTATTTCCCTCCCCGCCCCTGCTTTGGCGCTAGTTTGAAAAGAAGCCAGAAGAGATCCATCCATTTTGGTGGCCTCCCGAAAGACGCACCTGACCATTGGCATGTCATAGGCCGTTGGAGGCCTTTTCCGATCCTGCGCGGACACAGGGCGCGGTACCGCGGTACTACCTCACTCCGTGGGGTGTCACGAGGCGAAAATGGACCTGGCTCTTCCGAACAACTTTTAATCAGGATATGCTTGGTTCCTCTGTGCTCGATGGCGGGCACGAAGGGCTGAATGTCCCAGAAAAACGGCGGTGGGTCCCTCTCTTTCTGTGTATGGCTGTGGTTGTGCTTTTGTGGTTGTGGCTGTGATTGCGATTGTTTGTTCGCGCAATTCATCCTCTTAGCTTCATCTTTGGGATGATGTCAAGAAGCCTAGGCGCGTGCGTGCGGGCGGCGTGCGTGCGTGCGTGCGCGTGTGTGTGTGTGTGTGTGTGTGTGTGTGTGTGTGTGTGTGTGTGTCTGTGTCTGTGTCTGTGTCTGTGTCTGTGTCTGTGTCTGTGTCTGTGTCTGTGTCTGTGTCTGTGTCTGTTTCTGTTTCTGTATCTGTGTGTGTGGGTGCGTGCTTGTTTTTTCTTGGGTTTGTCCAAAGGTTTCTCGTTCGCTGTATTCGGAATCTTCTTGCACGAGGAACGGGTCCAGCGCACGCCGTGGCCAGCCGATGAGGCCCTTTCACACCACGTCTGGAAAGTGTGCCTGAGAACGCATCCAAGTACTTCGGGGTGAGATTTGACTGTGCCTGCGCCTGTGTAATATGCGACGCGCAGTGCGTACAGCGAGCCTTGATATTCAACCACTGGGCCTCGCTCGACGCGCCGCCGTGTCTGCGAGAAACCATCCTGGCTGCCGTTGGGACCAGCGCTTCCATCTTCTTTGCATTTGTGACGGACCCATGGGCCGACGGGCCGACCTTCATTCGTGGAAAAGCTCCCAAAGGACTAGCTGTAAACCCGGGTTGGTCTACAAGGTTGGTCCCTCGAAGGATGGAGTGTATTTGGGCTTGTGTGTGCTTTGGCGCAAGAGTTGGCTTAAAGCTTTCAAGGTTGGTTTGTCGGGAATTCGGGAGTTGGGTAGGTCTCAACACATGGGTTAGTTTATGAGGTTGGTTTCTTGACAATTGGCGTCTATTTGTTGTGCTTGCGTGTGCGTGTGTGTGCTTGTGGCATAAGGGCTGGCTTAAAGTTTCAAAGGTTGGTTTGTCGGGAATTGGGGGATGGGTAGGTCTCAACATATGGATTGGTTGGTATCTGGACAATTAGAGTCTATTTGGGCTTGCGTGTGTGCTTTTGGTGCAAGAGTTTGCTTACAGTTTTCAAGGTTGGCTTGTTGGGAATCGGGGAGTTGGGTAGGTCTCAACACATGGGTTAGTTTATGAGGTTGGTTTCTGGACAATTGGAGTCTATTTGTTGTGCTTGCGTGTGTGTGTGTGTGTGTGTGTGTGCTTGTGGCTTAAGGGCTGGCTTAAAGTTTCAAAGGTTGGTTTGTCGGGAATTGGGGGATTGGGTAGGTCTCAACATATGGATTGGTTGGAATCTGGACAACTGGAGTCTATTTGGGCTTGCGTGTGTGCTTTTGGCGCAAGAGTTTGCTTACAGTTTTCACGGTTGGATTGTCGGGAATCGGGGAGTTGGGTAGGTCTCAACACATGGGTTAGTTTATGAGATTGGTTTCTGGACAATTGGAGTCTATTGTGTGTGTGTGTGTGCTTGTGGCATAAGGGCTGGCTTAAAGTTTCAAAGGTTGGTTTGTCGGGGAATTGGGGGATTGGGTAGGTCTCAAAACACATGGGTTGGTTGGTATCTGGCCAATTGGAGTCTATTTGGGCTTGCGTGTGTGCTTTTGGCGCAAGAGTTGGCTTAAAGTTTGCAAGGTTGGTTTGTCGGTGATCGGGGAGTTGGGTAGGTCTCCACACATGGGCTAATTTATGAGGTTGGTTTCTGGACAATTGGAGTCTATTTGTTGTGCTTGCATGCGTGCATGTGCATGTGCATGTGCATGTGCATGTGCATGTGCATGTGCATGTGCATGTGCATGTGCATGTGCATGTGTGTGTGTGTGTGTGTGTGTGTGTGTGTGTGTGTGTGTGTGTGTGTGTGTGTGTGTGTGTGTGTGTGTGTGTGTGTGTGTGTGTATGTGTGCTTGTGGCATAAGGGCTGGCTTAAAGTTTCAAAGGTTGGTTTGTCGGGAATTGGGGGATTGGGTAGGTCTCAAAACATATGGGTTGGTTGGTATCTGGACAATTGGAGTCTATTTGGGCTTGCGTGTGTGCTTTTGGCGCAAGAGTTGGCTTTAAGTTTGCAAGGTCGGTTTGTCGGGAATCGGGGAGTTGGGTAGGTCTCCACACATGGGTTAGTTTACAAGGCTCTCAAAACCATGGGTTGGTTTTTACAAGGCTGGCTCCTGGACGCATGGAGTTCCGATCAAAGCCAGGGGGTTGTCCAAAATATTCACCTGGTTCAACCCTTGTGTTCCGCCAGATGCCACGTTTTGTTGGGCTGTCCCGTTGCAAAAAGTTTAACTGTTAGCGGGTTAAATGAAAACTAAGGCTAAACCCAAAAAAGCTAAACAGCTAGGGATGGCCGGGAACCACCAAGTTTACCAAAAGGGACGACAAAGGTTTTGGCAGTCCCCTAAAGGGGCCTACCCAAAACCCATGGCATAGAATCAAAAAGGGCGGAAAGGGACAGTGGCTCAGCTGTGGATTTGTGCAACTGGATCCCAAGTGAAGTTTCCCTCAGCCAGCTGGATGGTTTTCATGTTCAGGGCTTCTTTAGCAATTACTTTTAGGGCTTCCCTTGAAACCACGGAGCCTGCTTTTGAGATCCTCACCTAAGCACGTGCTTGTGCACCTTCTTTGAACAACAACATGCAGGTTGGGTGCGCAACACAGTTTTTAAAGTGTCCGCACCATTGGAGCATTACCCTGAAAATATGGATTACCCTGCCTCCCACCAACTAACATGGAACCTGACCTTCCACGCGGTCTTGGAAGCCCATTTTTTCTTTTCAATCGACCCAACAGGCTGTTTTGGTCTCAACTCAACTTGATCACAAGGCTTTGCTTCTTTTGAGGGGGTCCTTGCGCTAACACTGTTCTGCGGTATTTGGTTGATCACGCGACTTTGCTTCCTTTTGAGGCGTCTTTACGCTACCGCTGTGCCAGGCTTTGAAACTGAAAAGCCCGTCTGTCTGTTGAAAAGGGCTTCCAGAGACTTGTCAGGTTCCATAGTCTTACCTGCTCGGCAAATTTGGAGCTCCCTAAACGGCTCCCTTCCAATCACACACAGCCTGGTCTAAAATTTTCACCCAGCGTCGATCAAGCGGAGCACCGCCTGCCTCATCTCCTGGCTCCTAGCCTGACGCCAACGACCGTTGCCGTGTTCAAAGCAATCCAAATCCGAATTGTTTCTCAGAGCCCCACAGTGGTAACCCCACTAGAGCATGCTGGGTCTCCAGGGCTGAGTAGATCGAATCGAAAACTCGACAGTCACAAGTTTGCTCGTGTGCGTCTGCGTGCGCGTGCGCGTGCGCGTGCGTCTGCGCGTGCGCGTGCGCGTGCGCGTGCGGGTGCGGGTGCGGGTGCGTGTGCGTGTGCGTGTGCGTGTGCGTGTGCGGGTGCGCGTGCGGGCGTGCGGGCGTGCGTGGGCGTGCGTGGGCGTGCGTGGGCGTGCGTGGGCGTGCGTGCGTGGGCGTGCGTGGGCGTGCGTGGGAGTGCGTGCGAGCGGGCGTGCAGGCGTGCGTGCATGCGTGCGGGCGTGCGGGCGCGCGTGCGGGCGCGTGTGCGTGTGCGTGTGCGTGTGCGTGTGCGTGGTGCGTGGTGCGTGTGCGTGTGCGTGTGCGTGTGCGTGTGCGTGCGCGTGCGCGTGCGCGTGCGGGTGTGGTGTGTGTGTGTGTGTGTGTGTGTGTGTGTGTGTGTGTGTGTGTGTGTGTGTGTGTGTGTGTGTGTGTGTGTGTGTGTGTGTGTGTGTGTGTGTGTGTGTGTGTGTGTGTGTGTGTGTGTGTGTGTGTGTGTGTGTCTGTGTGTGTCTGTGTGTGTCTGTGTGTGTCTGTGTGTGTCTGTGTGTGTCTGTGTGTGTCTGTCTGTGTGTCTGTGTGTCTGTGTGTGTCTGTGTGTCTGTGTCTGTGTCTGTGTCTGTGTCTGTGTGTGTCTGTGTGTCTCTCTGTCTCTGTTTGTCTGTCTCTGTTTGTCTGTCTGTCTGTCTGTCTGTCTGTCTGTCTGTCTGTTTGTCTGTCTGTCCGTCCGTCTGTCTGTCTGTCTGTCTGTGTGTGTGCGTGTGTGTCTGTGTGTCTGTGTGTGTGTGTGTCTGTGTGTCCGTGTGTCTGTGTGTGTGTGTGTGTCCGTGTGTCTGTGTGTGCGTCTGTGCGTCTGTGCGTCTGTGTGTCTGTGTGTCTGTGTGTGTCTGTGTTGGTGTCGCTGTGTTTTTAAGGCCACATTTTATGGGGTTTCCCTGGGAGACAAAACCCACAAGCAAAGAAACACCCACAGGCGATTTCCCATCATGTTGGGATATGGGTGTTTCTCACTACGAGGCTCCCTGAAATGGTCGTGGTTTCTCTTTGAATATCAACCCAAAGGGGGTGACTTTTGAGAAGCCCCCATATGCGTGAGCCGAACCACATGGTTCTGAGGGGATGGCGCAACCCCTCCCAGTGAAAGGGCCCTTTTTCGGCGACCAGGAGCTTCCCCTAGCCTCAAAATTGGACCTAAAATTATTGATCCTCCTTTTGGCTTCCCACCAGAAAGCTCCGAACTCAAGCACCTGCAAGCTGCAAAAACCCCTCCCCCCCAACCCCGGGGGACTTCGCGGTTTTCCTTTTGGCCGCCCTTTCAACACCAACCGAAGGCTTCCAACCGAAAGTCGACGCCGGCCCATTTCGCGGGCGCCTGGGACTCGTACTCCGCGTCTTTCTGCGCCTGGGAGAGACCGTTCTCCACCAGCACGGCGGTGACCTACGGGAAAATTTCCCCGTCTTTCGGTTGGACCAAAAGTCCGCTGTGGCCATTTTAGGGTACCCCCTATTTGGAGACCACCATTTTAGGAGACCTGAATTTTAAGGTGTCCAACATGGCCAAAAACCATGTTAGGATACTCCCGATTTTGAAAAACACGTCGCCGAAAGGTTGTTCAGCGTGCTGGAAGATACAAGGTTTCGACAGGGGTCATCTTGAGTTCAATCCGCCACAGTTTACACGTGACCTGGGCATGGCAAAGTTAGGCGTCGTACCCTTGCGGATGAGACTTAGTGTGCGAGGCCCTCCATGCCCCTCCCTGAACCAACTTGTGAAGACAAGGCTTTGTGCTTTCGGAGAACATCCAGGGGTCCGCCCAATAAGCTACCTGAACCAAGGTCGGGTCCTCCATCTTTTGACTTACCCTCCCACCAACTAACAGTGCAAGAAGCCCCTGTCCAAGAGGAAAGTCGTCTTTCTACAGGGGTCTGTGCACTTCCATGGAATCGCCGGGAGGGTATCAAGCTGAGGCATCCGGACCAAGTTCAGTAGCGTGATCGGCAGGATCAAGAGGAGCGCCAGGAAGTAGAACACCAGCTCGGGCTTTGCTTGCACCAAGGGGATGTAGATCCTGATGAGCCAAACTGGCCGAAGCTAGGCACAAAAAACCAGGCATGTCCCTCGAAGGCATGCATGTTCCAAGCATGTGAACAGCGGGGAGGTTCCGGAAGCATCTCAGAAAAAGAAACACTTCCTTGGACTACACATCATTTTAAGACTCTTTCAGCACTACTCTTTTCGCCTTGTATGAGATCGGGTGGATTCGGCATCCAAAACAGTCCTCAGGTTGGCAAACAACCCTTGTTCGATGTACCGGTAGGTTCTTGGGTGCCGTCGGTGTTTGGCTGAAAAGCAACAAGCACATTCTCAAGAGGGGCGTCTCACATGGAACCGGAACCCCATGGAAGAGGCTCTTGCCCGTTTCATCCAGGAGGCTCGGCGATCGAGTCCATGGTGACGAACCTGCTCCAAGTGGGGGGTGTTGTGTGTTGGGTGGGGGGGGTGGGGAGATGGAAGCCCTAAAGAGCTGTGATTCGGGCACGAGCCTGTCCAGGCAATGGGTAAGTTGGGGTAAACAAGCCACAAAAGAAAGGTTCCCCAAAAGCAAACCAATCCCCGGTCCCAAAAATCAGGGTTTCCCACACACCAGAGAACAACAACCAAAAGGGAAATACCAAAACAAGTAAACAAGTACCCGCAACCTTGATCGACGATGAACCGCACGGGCGGACCCCACCAATCTGCCCCGGGCCGATGTCTCTTTCTCCACCGACACGAAGGTGATCGACGCGGGGACCCGGCGACGCTCATCCGAGGCGCGACGGACCCGCAAACTTGAGCCAAAGTGGCACCGGATAGTTGCTATCGCAACATGCCGGTAGTCACCTGAAATGCATGGCTCACACCCCCCTCACGAGGAGTCCGTCATATGACGGGCGGAGCGTGCCATTTACTGATAGGATTTAACTGCTCGCATGTGTCCGCAAACAGCTGGACACTACCGCCGTCAGCGGTGGAGCAAACCCACAAAGGCAGTTGCGCGACATCCCGGGCATTAAATTCCCGCCACCACCCCGAATTAATCGGGGTAACGCTGTCCAACACACCTTGTGAAAGAGTCCACATGACGACACTAGGCCACAACTGTTTGCATCAACAATGCAAGAAGTTTAAATCTTATCAGAAGCCATGAAACAAAGGATAACGTATGTCCATAAGTACCCTCGCCTATCGGTGAGAGGTACTCCTGACCATGCGTACCTGAAAAATGCTTGAATTCCGCAAACCCGGGAGTATCCCCCCATTAGTTTGCTTTCCCTCTCACTCACACTACTTCATGATGAACACGACCAGCAGCCGAGCAGCGGTACGGGAGGGACTTGATCTCCGCGCCTCAGCGGTTCGGGAGGAACATCACCACCTCCGCACCGCGCTGACCATTGGAGAATGGACGCAAGCCTATCGGCCGCAATCCTCGTGACTCGGCCTATCGGCTATCGTCACGTCTCCTCCGGTCACGTCCGCCCCGCGCACGGTCCCTATCACGATCCCTTTCGGATCTCCTGCGATCATCTCGCCTTCGTTCTCGCTTTCGATCGAGTGAATCATCATCACGACGATCACGGGCATCGTCCCTCCTCCGGTCACGATCATCCTCGCGCCGCGGACGGTATCTGCGTCTTCTCGACTCTCTGGAATTTCTGGTGTCCACAGTCCTAACGGACCTCCGAGACGGAGTGCGGGAGACGTCCGAGTCTCTGCGTCTCCTCCCAGAACGAGAGTTCGTGACGATCTGATTGAGAGCTTCCAGTGCCGAAGCTTCTTCACCATTTCTGATGAAATCCCTGACCTGCTTGTTCAGCACTCTATTGGTGGAAACCGACAGGAGGGCGTCCACCACCGAACTCTCAGGCAGCACCAGGAAGTGACCCTCCACCGGGCTCGCCGCAGCTCGCTCAGCCGGCCGCAACCTGATCTCACCTCCTTCAGGTTTCTTCGCCATTGCCTTGGAGGCCGTCAGAGGCGCTACCGCGTCCTTTGCCGAAGACCTACCAAGCGCAGAGTGGAGATCATCCCCACTAGCCTCTCTCGCTGCTGCACCCGGTCTGCTGTCAACGTCATCAGGCCTGGTCGACGCCTCCCGCTTCGTCGACTCCTTCACGGTCTCATCAGGATCCCAACGGGACTTCCTTTCTCTCTTCTGCCCTTCGGCCGACCCCCGACTACCGCCAGGAGCGCCGTCTCCGCCTACCTTCTCCTTCTTGACCTCAACCTTCGGTTCGGCCTGCTTCGTCTCCTTAGCTTCAGCCTTCGGAGCCGGAGCATTCTTCGCCTCAGATACTGAAGCGGCCTTCCCTTTTGGCTCGGCCTTTGGAACCGGGGTCATTTTAGCCTTTGCACTCGGCCGGGCTCCTTCAGCCGCTATCGCGACCCAAGTCTTCTTTGGTTGAGCCACAGTTGCATCAACCTCCATCGGAGCCGGCCCAGCATCAGCCTTCGCTTTTGCCTGTGAGACAGATGGACTATCGCCCTTACCAGACCCTTTTCCTGGCACTTCACCTGACTTTGGTGGTGGGCCGGAAGGACTACCGCCCTTACCGCCCTTTTCCCCCTTCTTCCCTTTTCCTTTTCCGCCCTTGACGATCGGCTCCTGCTTAGGACCAGGACCCTGCGCAGCATGATGCACCGATTGAAGCCCTTCGATGTTCACGTCCAATGGCTCCGGTTGACGACCATCAAGAACCGTCCTCACCCTTTCGTCGCTAACGTAGACGAATGGGTCGCGGAAGGGGGCGGGAGGCTCCGACTGCCCGGTACTGATTGCCTTCTGCACCTTGGCTATCGCCTCCTTCAATCTCTTCTTCTCATCGTACCCTGTCTCTGACACCATGTACTTCCTGAGATCCGATATCAACGCATGACTGGCCAGGATGTCCACGTCCTTCCGATGAGTCGGATACAACGGAGTCAGATGCCCCGCCGCGGAGCCAATCACGTACGCCATCGGGATATAGAAGGACAAGTACGTGTCATGGCGAGCAAACTTCCTAACGGAAGTCGTCATACGCCTACCCCACTGAGCAGCATGCACCGGGTTAGCTCGGAAGTACTCAGTGACCGAATCAAATCTATCGACTTGGTTGGTCTTAATCAGGTGCTTCGCCACCCACTTCTCCACGAACGCATCCGAGGCCGAAATCCCCGACACATAGGAGAATTGGAAGAGCACCTTCGCCAGCTCATCCCACGCCGTATCGACTCCTCCCTTGTCCTCACCAAGATAAGGGGGCAGTCTGATGCCGCTCTGCACCGTCATCCTCAGGTCAGACGCCATTGAATAGGAAATCAAGTTCCTCTTGATAACTCCGACCACTTCGGATGGGATCCTCTTGGGCTTGAACTGCCTCATGCTCCTCACCCACTCCGGGACGATGTGGCATCTCTCGAAGTCACTTTCGTCCGCGTTGGGGATGAAGTTCGGGTAGAAGACCGGGAGCGCACACCCAGGGCACAAGTGCATCCCATTTGGCGTCATCTCCGCGCACCTCAAACAGAACGTGGTGGTCACATTCAACCTGACCTCTTCACGCGATCGCTTGTGCTCTCCCCTATCGGGGGTAAGGTCACCATAGTCCCATGCCCGATGATACACTATCGTGTAGTCATCGTACATGTATGCCGCCTTCCAAGCGCCCATGTGGATCTCGTTCCGAACGGCAAGGGTCTTTCTCCTCGTCAGAAACACGGGTCCAACCAACGACCAGTGCACCCGAAGGTCCACGATTACCACCACGTACCTTCCCGAGTAGTTCCGCAGCCTGTCCCTGACGTACCATGATGGCGATACCTCGGCGTTCGGCGCCATGGTTTCCACAAGTGGGACCAGGCCCTCATCCTGCCTTCCATCCCCAATGGTATCGTACACATCGGGCCTCGTGATCAATATCTCGATCATGGCCTTTCCGTTTCGCCTCACCTTTTGGAGCTGAACCGCCTTCCTAAAGTCCGAGAACTTCATGACGACGTATCCCACCATAGGGAGTTCATTCCAGTGCATCTCGTACATCAGAGATCCTCCAGGTGCATCTTCTTGGGTGTACCTTTGCCTAACGGCACTGTAACTCATGTCACGTCCGATCCGCGTGTACCTAACGGCCACTAACCTAGTGCTCTCCCTAAGGATGACACCATTCCCATCGTACATGACCATGAGCATTGCCTCAACTTGCCCTATCGGGAAAGCTTTGATCGTCGGAATGAAGAACTTCCACGACATCTCAGCGTTCTCCATGCCCGTGATCTCTCTCAGGAACCAGATGGCCTGGTCACTACTCACCCAGTTTCCAGCCTCACGTCCAGTTTCCCTCAGCACACGTTCCTCGAATAACTCCGAGACTTTCTTCGAATTGATGACCAGACCTTCAAAGTCGCATGAGAGCAGTCTCATCAACTCCTTTGCCGCCTCCCGCCCTGCAACGGTGCCCGCGGTCTCCTCGTAGTTCGGGACGTATTCGCCCAACCTTGTCTTCGAGGGAATCACAATCTGGCATGTGGCGGCCTCATCAGGGATAACCCCAGTATCCCTTAGTTCTGGGTTGATTTCCCGCCTATCGGCAAGATAATCCCTCTTTCCGTCCAGGACCACAAGATTGTAGGTCATCTTGCTTGCCGCCTCACTCGTCCGGAACTTTCTGCTTTCATCCACCTGATCAGGAGCAAAGGGTCCACTGGGGGCAGCTGCACTTACCATTGGCGCTCCTCGCCCAGAGCATAGGTGCTTCTTGTGAAAGTTCACCATCTCATTCAGCTGCGACAGGGCATAAGCTCGATCCTCCAATGACGCACTCTTCATCCCAGCCTCAGTCAGAGGAGCCTCAGGCTTGTCATAACTCGCCTTTCCGCCCCATCTCGCCGCGACCAGCTCAGCAGACTTTGCAGGATCAATCAGATTTCCCGACCATTCAGGCATGTCGCTCAACCTCCTAGTCAACGCGTCTATCGACGCAGCCAAGTCTTCATCCGTCACGGTGTGAGGGTCGACCTTCTCCCTGTCTTCCTGACCCACGTCAGGGAGCCTAAAGTCCCCGCGGATGGCCTCCATCGCGGCCTTCTCGGCTTCCTCAGCCTCCTTTTGCGTGGCCACTGCTCTAGGAATCAGGAGCGCTGCCTCAGCTGGCAACGATTTCTCCATGTCAATCGGAGTGTTCTTGGGAAGGATCCTTCGATCATCTCCCTCCCCGCTGTACACATAGTCTGGAGCAGTCTTTCGGTACTCCTCGAAGGTAGCCCCTTTGAAGTTGGTGATCTCGCTCGGGTCTGTCTTCCCAGCCTCAGTATCCCGAGGCGTGGGCTTCTCCGTCCCGGCGGAATCCTTCTTGGAGCCTTCCTGATCCACATCCATGTCGTCTTTCTTCTTCTCCGTCACGGAAAGTTTCCCAATGTCAGGAAGCGTCACATCATCG